AGCAGGCTACGGGGAGAAGGAGGGATGCTGCCTTCACCTTGTCCAACTGCGTTTTATAACTCGTCTCAACTGTACTGTGGTGATTGTGATTATGATTATTACAGCTGGAAGTCTTCAGTTTTTTGAGCGTTGAATCAATGAATAATCTAAAGATGATAAAAATGGAGTCTTGCATTGCATTTACTATTCCTTCTCTCCAAAACAAAAGAAATCTGTGTTTTCTTAGCTACAGGAAACGTATTGATATAGTTCCACTCATTAATGATAATCATTCAAACAATACTTAAGGAGTCTAGTTTGCAAAGGGTAACTGTGTTTGCAGACTTAGTCAGAGTCATTGGCGTCTACTGGAGTCACTGGGCCAAAACCAGAGGGGCGTCCAAAGGTATACAACTGAGTCTGAGTTGATGCAACTGTCAGGTTAAGGTGGAGTCACAAAGAGAGATAAATTGCAGCATCTGAAATCACTTAAAGGCTAATCCAAAACCTTGTAGACTCCATAGGGTTCTTTCCATTCCTTTAAAGAGAGTTGCAAGTCTCAATTCTTCGTCTTAGTGTTGATTAATTTTCACATAAACCCCAATTCTGCAGTCAGCCATTCTTTTTCAGAGGAAGGGTTCTAACTAATAAACCTACTTTTTTTTTAGCTGTCCATGAATTATGCCTTTTCCTGAGTTGACTTCCTGTGGATACTGTCGTGAATGATGGAATATAGAAATCAGATTTCTTATGTGGGTTTTTGCAAGATACTAAACTATCTTATAAGAGAGATGAAACTTCTGTAAGGCAGGGAAGTGTGGGACACCCACCACTTATTCATGGTGGGTGTCTCACACCTGCCTTCCAGTGGAGGGTAAATACTTATTCACTGTGTATACAAATGCACATATGCAAACACAAAAACATGCACACTGAAAAAGTATTCCTTGTCTATCTTCTTTCTGTATGAGAGAAAAAATGTAAATGCAGAGATGTTTCAGGTAAGTCTGTTCAGATACATGTTCACAGATTTGTAATATACAGTATCTAAAATATAGAAACTGAAAAGAAAGACTACAAGTATAGCACAAGAAAGTTCTAGACATAAGTTAAAAGTTAAATATAAATCAAACTGAGAAATAGGACTTTTCAATCTGGACTAAAGTCAAGATGGACAGGGTTTGTCTATGCCAGGGCAAGTGGCTGGCTGCTAGTTTGACTTGTCCACAGGGAATGAAATGGTAGGTTGATGCCTCAAATAAATGACAGGGAAGAACAACTTACAGCTCATCCTGGAAGCATCAATCTTAAATATACATATGATTATGTCAAAATATATTCCTAGTAGAATTAGGTTTGGCTGAAGAACAAGTAGTAGTCTTGGAGTTTCCTATAGCGGAAAATAAATTTCTCTCTTAAATTTGGATATAATCGCTGAACTGAGTAGCTTTTGTAAGAATTTGCAAAAAGTATCAAAATTAAGATCATTTCATAAAGTTAAGCTTTTCTCAGGACACCTTCATTTGGTATTTTGAGAGAGACCAGTAGTAATGCATTGCACATGGGAGAGAGGAGCAGTTCTGGTGTGAGGATAGTTTGTATCCATTTTTCTTTGAGTTCTCTGCAAGATTCCAGCCAGCTTTCTGTCAGTAAGACTGAGAGACAAGAACACTGATCATGATGCTTTGGGGTTTTTTTGAGCATTGCAGATGTGAAAATTTGAGAGTCTTTTTTTGTTTGTTTCTTTAATTAAGTGGGATCTTAAGGGAGCCTGGATTTGGCTTTCCCATCTCTTTACATAGAAATGATAATTTGTGTGTATTATATCTATTAAGAATTAGGTATTTTCCCAAAGAAGGTACTTTATTCGATTGATAGATGCCTATATTAATGTCCTGGATAGCTGAAGGAGGCAATGGAGCAGGAGGCCTTCCTGAGATTTCAGATAAGGTCTGCGTCTTTCATGGGTTCTGAACTGCTCAGCTCCCTAATGTCGAGTGTGTCATCTCCTGCCACTGCATGACAAATCCTGAGCTATGTGACTAGTGGGAAAACTTTGTGTTTTGTAATTATTATTTGAAGTCCTCCTGCTGACATGGCCCCAGGGAGGCCTGTGAGCTTTGCTTCCTCAGCTGAAAATTCCCCCACACACCCCTTACAAATACAATTTTCCTCTTTCTCCAGTTTTCACACTGTAAGAGAAGAGGAAACCTTTCCTTCAATTTGAACGGAAATTTTTATCAGGACCTTTGAGTCATCGCGACTCCTCTTGGAGTTTGGCGCTGCAGTTTGCAGCAGGCCAAACCAGGCAGCAGGGCAAGAGGGTGTCGCGCACAGGATGATAGCCGGGGACAGGGAGGGAGGGAGGTCAAGGGCACCACTTGTGGGTTTTTCTTTGTGCTGCTGGCCAGTATGGGTGGAAAGGCCTCCGATGATTGCTGAACTCTTTCAAGTAACTCAGGTCTGTAGAAGTGCTTGGCAGCTTAGCATCAGTCAGGGTTTACCTCGGAGAAGAAGAAAAATACTATTTTGAAACCTAAACTGATACCTTTAATACTGTTACTGAAGGCTTGAGTCTGTTTTTCTGTTTTTTTTCTACTTTCCCCCAGTATATAGTGAGAAGTGGTTACATTTATAGCTTTTACTGCTTCCAAGTGGTCAAAATTAATGTAATTCTGTTTATAAAGTCAACTATCTGCTTGCCTTTTCCCTCCCTTTCTTCTTCCTCTTCTCTTCTTGCTCTTGTCACTATAATCAGAATGAATATTTTGTTCCAATAAAATCCTTTAATAACTAAATATGAAACAAATTCTGAAGCTGGCTAATTTACACTCTGTTTTCTGGGGGGAAATGGGCTTCAGAGAACATACGGATCAGATGAGTTGCTGTTATTTGTCATCTTAGTGGATCCCTATGAACTCTGTGCAAGTCTGAAAGCATTTGCCAGATACCAACTATTGTCATTTTTTCCCAATTTATAAGCATCTGGTATTTTCCCTCAGTGTGTTGAAAGAGGGTAGGTTTAAATGCATGACCTGAAACAGAGTTGGAAGGAGTTGTTAATCCCTACTAATACGGTATTTCCATAATCAAACACATTTGGGGTTGTTTTGGTTTTGTTTTATTTTTTTTTTAATTAAATTGTTAATAATATTAAATTGGGCATTGAAAACTGAATCATGCTACAGATATTTCCCTTACTGAGGCTTTCTGGTATTACACAGTTTGAAGGAACAGTGTGTTTTGTCATTAAAAAAAAATTAAAATCATACGGCCTTCTTGCAGATGCCATCCCACCAAGCTATTACAGCCTTTACTTCCGAATCGTCAGATTTGATGTCTCAGCGATGGAGAAGAATGCTTCCAACTTGGTGAAGGCTGAGTTCAGGGTCTTCCGCCTGCAGAACTCCAAGGCACGAGTCTCGGAGCAGCGGATAGAGCTGTACCAGGTATGGTGGCACCTCGCACGCGTCAGCTCCCAGTCTTTTTGCAGCAAACCCCTTGTACCTGTCTAGTAGGTGGAACAAACCATGGGGAGAAGTGGCTGAGTTCTGTCTTCCCAAAGTAGCATCTTGTTTCCTATGCCTTTCATAGCATGGGAAATGTGCAAACTTTTTCTAGCAGTTGTGCCTCAGGACTCCAGAGTTTCAGCATATAAGTGACAGAGCAAGACATCAAATAAGTCATCCCCAGGATCTCTGTCTCCCATCACCTGGCCTGTACTGCAGTTTACATGGAAGTCAAACTCCTTTCTCTGGCCTGTGTTCAGGAGAAGCCTGTTAACTGTTTCTCACAGAAATAGCTTTGTTAATAACTGAGTTTCAAAGCTTAGCAGCTTCAGTCCTGGCTTCTGTATAGTACACTAGGGGTTCAGGTAAGGGAGTGAATAATTCAGGGATTGAAAAGTGAGGAAGAGAATGACCCCAAGACTCTCTCACTCCTGAGAGTTGATAAGACTGATGTCATTTAGTCTTTAAAGACTTTGAAGCCATTAAAGTCACTTACATAGAGTCTATATATTTGTGCAAAGATTGTCTAGAGCATATTTCATCTAAAGTATAGTTTATTTTACCAAGAAACACAGCAACCAAAAGAGTTGCTCCCAGCAGTTTCATACTCACGGTTGTTCCAGCAACTCAGGAATTGTTCTGCTGAAAGTCCTTCCAGATAGGATACCACCTTGTGAAAGTGTATTGAGCCCCTCTTTGGCTTTGTTCTTGCTGCCTTTATTAGCTATGCCTGAGCACTGTCCTGGGTTTGTAGATTCAGTGAGTGCAAATTTGAGTTAGTCTTCTCCCTCACTTCTGACATTCACCTTTTCCTGCCTGGTCTGGTCAAGTGCAAGCAAAATTCGGAGCAGAGAGGGGGAAATTTGGCTTCACCATCTTGCTGAAGTGACAGTATAAGCCAAACTTAGAGACTGACTGAACTGTTTAGACATTGTTTAAACATAGGAGAAGCATGATTCCCAGTTGAATGTGGTTGAGGTCTGCAGGTGGTCACTGGGTGCTTGGCTTCATGACTGCAACCTGGCTGCCTTCCTTTCCAAGGACAGGTTGACAGAAAAGTTGATTAAATATGTCTTTTGTTAAAAGAGAAAGCAAGGAATCTTTAATGAGAGTCACTGGTGTCATCTATATATAACAGCTGTCACAGAGAATTACACTATGAATCCCTGTGATATTGCCACACCAGCCTGTTGAAATGATTGTATGTTCTGGCTTGATCTCACTGTTCAGACATCCTAAAAGGAGTTGATGTTATCACTGGGCTTTCTGTTGCTCTGCTTTTGAGAGCTGTTAGTCAGCCTCCTGAAAGAAGTACAGCTGTGGTTGCCCAAGCTCGGTTCATTGCCTTTCCATGTTTGAGAAATGTGGGACACAAAGGGTTCAGTGGAGGTAGGGAAGAAACAGCCTTTGCTTGCTGGGATTTTGCCTTGTGCTGAGAAACAGCTGGAGTTTATTTGAGAGAGCCTGACTCCAGCAAGCCTGTGACCATAGAAATGACTGACACCTGCATCCAGGGTAGGTATTTGGGTCCTTTAGATAAATATATATATAGCTGGTGAGAAAGGCAGTTTCTTTTTTAGGCTGGGTGGGGTATACTGAGTGAAGTGTTAGGTGAGTAATGAGTGCAGGTTATTGTAGGATTAGGATTTTTCTCCACCAAGTAACAGGCAAGCCAGAGGCAGTGAGTTCGGAGTGTGTGTTTGTGCCAGGCATATTTTAGGCATGTTACTTTACTCTTTTGCCTGTAGAGAGGCAAACTGTCTCTGGAGCATTTCCCTTGCAGAGTGTCTATTAAAATGATGAAAGCTGCCTGTTAGTTCCTCTCTCTGCTTTACTTCTTACAGGCTTCTGTAGCCGCCTGCTGGTTGTTCCCCTCTCCCCCCACCCCACCCCTGTCTTTGGTTGTATTTATTTCTTGCAATCTTGTATGCAACTCTCCCCAAAATCTCGTATGGAGGTACTAGCTCTGTGAAGGCCAGTCTGAACTGTATGGGTTCCTTGCCAGCAGCTCTACTGCAGGAGCATTAGAATTCCCTAAATACTTCTGCTTCTAATCTCCATTGCAACACATGATGTTAGCATGCAACGTTTAACAGGAAAATCAAAAGCAGGGAGAAATTGAAGAGGAAGGACCAATGATCCTTATGGATTCCTTCCAACTTGAGATATTCTGTGATTCTATGATGTATAGTAGGACAGTGTTATAGAAAGCACCCTAAAACTTGGTATATGAATTTTAAAAATTAGAAAGAAGAAAATCTAAGCAACTGAAGGAGAGGAAGGATGAGCAGAAGACATTGGTGCCACAGTGATGCTAGAGGAGCTCCAGGGCTGCGTACTGATAGATTGATAGTGCAGACAGGGGTGTCTAGCAGTGGAGGAACATACAGACATGGGAGGTAAAAAGGGAGAATGAGGAAGATGCTCATTTCAGTGACAGTGGGAGAGGCCTATAACTTCTGTGAGGGCTGAAAACTTACTTGGGTTTCATTGCTTCCAGCATGAAAAGCCATGCATGCAGAGCAAGCCTAGCAGAGATTTCTGGTGGAGTCAGCATGTGCAGCCACAACTCCTCCTCCATGCATAAGCACTGCTTCCTGTCTTGTGAGATGTGTACTAGGCTTGCCAAGGCTGTTGTGCCCAGAAGGAACATTATGGTTTTTCATCTTGCATAAGCAATATTTAATTATTAGAGTGTTGGTTTTTTTTTTCCTTCCACCAAGTTTCGGGTTGCCTTATGTTTTGCTTTGTTGAGGAGATCTTTTTGATGAGGGTTTCTGACGTTCCTCTCATACCTGCAGTTTCAGGTAATGGTTGTTCCTTTGTCCCCTCATCTCTCAGTCAAGCAGGAAGAGAGGTGCAGAAGTCTTCTTGAGAGAAGCAGAGCTCTCTTGTTGTGGTTCACTGGGAAAGTGGCCATCCCTGAACACATGCAAGACTACTAACTGCTCTCCAAGAGCTCTCTGGTTTAGTCCAGTGACAGTTAAGTAGTAGTATATATACCACTGGTGCAAAAGGGACAATATTAGTCTGAAGGACTATTTTAAGAACAGCTAGAGACAGATGTGCAGGGTAAATGGAAAAATTAAGCAAGCAGAATATAAATATTTTGTTTCTCCTCCTGATTCTTTCTTCGTGTGGTCCTCTGACCTTACAGATCTACCCCTTAAGATGAAAAAAGAAATGCAAGACTGCACCTTTTCAGCTAAGCTTTCCTCGGGCTATACTTGGCTCCCTTTTCCAAACCACATCAGAAAAGGGACTTTGTGTTTTCCTGCGGCCCTTGTTTGCACTGACTCCAGGGAGGCAGTCTGGGGCTGCTTTGCCTAGTGAGCCAGGGTCGTGGCCCCTCACTCCCAGCTCCCGGCACAGCAGCAGCTGGACACTGTTCCAACGTCAGAGGCAAGGTTGGAGCAGAGAGTACCCCATTGTATTTATGCTGGGAGTGAGTGGCTGTGGGTCTGCTGCCCTCCAGGTTTCTCCAGGCAGTAGGTCCTGAAGATTCATTTTCATGGAGGTGCTCTGGATGCATCCGCAAAGCCAGTGGGCAAGTGGTAATCCCTAAGAGCAGAAACAGTTTCTTTTATGTCTGTTTTCACCCAGAATACTTTTAGTATTTAAGGGTTAGTCAGCCACATCTGTGTGTTCCTGTGGAGATGGGAGGTATGGTGCACATTTTAAGTAGTCTTAGAATGGAAAATAATAAAACTCATAGAAGTAGGAATTAAGTTTCTCTTATAAGGCTGGTATAAAAGCTTCTGTCTCTTCTCAGCTCTGGTTAAGTGAAGCCACAGAGTATTAAATTCTTTAAAGGCACTGTCTTTTCTGTTGTTTCTTCTGCCTGAAGGTGAGGGTTAGTCTGCTGGTGATGCTGCTGATTATCAGCACATTGTTGAGTGGGAAGCCAGAAGGAAGGAAGGAAGGAAGGAAGTGGCCGAGACCTCAGATGAAGTGAGCACTCTTTCACACTTCTCCTTCCACTGCGCCACGTTCACACAAAGCACTTCTCAACATGCACCGAGACTTCAGAAAATACTAAGAGGATAAAGTACTTCTGGGGAAGGAAAGAGGAATAATATTAAATAAACAAGTTTTAGCATCCTCCAGTGGCCTTTGCTATGTTTTTAAAGATTTAGGCCAAATGCAGGCTTTATTGGAATTTGATCAGATAAAACTCAGTTGTTATGGGAATGTCTTTGTACATCAGTTTTTTTGCCTGCTTTGAAGACTTCATCACATCTTTCTTTTATTAAGGTGCTTCTGTATTTATGAATAAAGTCCCTGCACTCTTCAAAAAAAAAGCTTGTCTTTTATGAATAAGCATTCCAAAAAATAAATAGGCACCACCGCAAAGCTGGACAAGTGGAAACCCTTGCAGGGCGAAAAGCCATCGTTCAGAAAGTATTGTGGTATTGTTTTTAAGGTATTTTTATTATGTACAGACGGTCAAACAATAGCAAGTAATAATTACTTCCTATGGAAGCAGTGCCATGTTTTGTTAACACATCATAAAGTATCACGAAAAATGCAGCTGAAGTGCTGGTTTTTATCGTCATTGTTATCTGAGGCTGCCATGAGTGTGGGTACCTGAGAGCCTGCAGATGGAGGAGGAACTAACATGGGACATATCAGAGCACGGGGCTGGAGCAAATGAATGGTGCCAGGTTAAAGCCCGGGGGAGAGATTGGATTGCAATGAAGAATTTGAAGCAAGCAGGAGCAGACCTTTGGTCTTTCCATGTTGGGGTGGGCCTGGTCCATGCCGAGGGCTCCTGTGGAGCTTGCTGACGATTTAGGAAGAACTGTCTGCCCTCCAGGCAGTGGTAAACCCCATTTTTTAAGAGCATCTCTCCCTGCTTGGAGGTATGAGGAGGGAGATGCTGTGGAACATATTACCCCATTATGAGTCAGATTTAAATTTAAACCACAGTCAGTTGTTCA